GTTTTTTTTTTTTTTTTTTTTGGTGTTTTAAGGATTTGACTTATCAAATTTACTTTTTATCAAGAAAAACATCAATTACATAAAAACTAAAAATAAATAATAAATAATAATTATTTATTACACGTAAGAACACCATCCTTCTCTTCGAGAGAGAGGGAGAGAGAGAAGAAAAGAAGAAAAAAGGGAAGAGCGAATTCCAAAGAGATTAAAGGGCAAAAGGCATTGAGAAGCCAAGAAAGAGTGTCCTACAAATGAATGGCTTCAAGGGTTCATTGTTGCTACGCCCCCTCGGTTTGTGCGAAGGGACGCCTTCACCCATGCCCACACATCGTCTTTCGTAAGACAAATTTTCTAGCCGAGTCGAGAATAGGGCCACTTACATGATTATTTTAAGCTGATGTCACTAATTTATTTTTAATGAAAGTTTGATTTTGTCATTTAAAATCCAAGTTAATCTATGTGAACTCATGACATCAATTTCAAGTTTAAATTTATGTAAAATTATTTCGTTAAATTTTTCAATGGTCTATATTGAACTTCAGGTAGACCTTAGATACTTGAAATGATTAGAGTCTTGAAATTACGTTTGTTATAATATTATTTTTCATACAAAAAAAATAGAACATTTACTTATGTTTTTTTTTTAATTTTCAATCCATTTTCTAAAAAAAATTAGGATAAGAGAGAGAAAAATCTAATATATAACTCTTTTTTACCACTGTACAAGAAATTTGTAATGAAATTATGACGTTCCGAAACAATAACATTATTTATTGTGGGCTTGAATCTGTGTAATACAGAATAACAGTGTGTTGAAGATTATTGAAAGTGAGTCCCACATTCATTGATTTAGTGGAAGATCAGGAGTTTATAAGCGAAGAATATTATCTCCATTAGTATGAGCCATTTTAGGGAAACTCACAACAAAGTCACAAGAGCATATGCTCAAAGTGGATAATATCATACCATTGTGGAAAGTCGTGATTTTTTCAAAAGGGTTTATTATAATAATAAAATATTTTAATTATAGAGTGATAAAGTGTGTTATCAACAAAACGCCCACGTAACATATTATAATAAATAAATAAATAAATAATGTAAAGGGAGATATGTTAAAAGGGCAACTAAATTTCACGTGCTTCTCTTTATTATATATATATATATGTGCTGATATTAGGCCGGGGAGGGACTGGGCCCGGGCCCATTACGAGAGGGTGACGCAAATCCGGACAAGAATCCCAGGATGGGGCCCATCCTCAAGGCTGTCGGTAAATGGGAAGCTAGCCTCCTCTATACCCATCGTCTTTTTGGTAATTTTCGCCCACTGTACACGTGTCCCCCCACGTGGCACCATCTTCTCAACTCGTACTCGGGTTATTATTATTATTATTTTTTTTTAAATATCTTGTCGCGCCAGCTAAGCAACAGCTTGCACAGAGGGTGAATTTGAGTGAGGAGCGTAGAGTTTACGCGCGACAAAAGGGAAGGGAGAAGCAGTGTGAATTTGAGTGAGGAGCGTAGGTGATACGCGCGCCATAAAGGTGGTGAATTTAGAGCGGAGGCGGCGTAGCAAATG